CAAAGGGGGAAAGTCCAAGAAAAAAGATTGAAAGGGAAAACGGGCTGCGACCTTTGGGGGAAAAGGAGGGCAGGGGAGTTTATAAAATCCAAAAAAACTGCGTGGAATAGATTAAGGGGGACAGAGACAGGATGTTTCCCGGGGGACACAGAAAAAAGGGGGCACAATTTGGGAAACTAAGACTCAACGATTTACAGGGATGTTAAGGGAAATACTTTTTTAATTTACAAAAGTCGTCCAAAGGGAAATGGAATAGCCACAAGTTTATGTAGTGGAGGCAGCAAACATACACACTTTAAACGAGGTATGACAAAGCCAGGAAACAAAAAGAGGGCCTTAGCGATCCCCCCCCCCCCCGTGGGGAGGGGGGCCAGGGCTGGTCTCGAAACCCTTTCAAAAACCCCAATTATTTAGTAACCCCACCCGGGGGCCCAACACCACATTAAAAATAAAATATATATATTTTATAAAATATATATAAAAATATTTTATTTATTTTATTACTATATAATTATATATATATATATAAAAATTTAAAAAATTAAAAATAAAATATATATAAATAACATGAGGTGTGAGAGATACATGTCTAGTAAAAGACTGTTACGTGTTTTTTACTGACTATAATGCGAAAATTTCAGCTCCTCAGAGCTGGGGGGGCCCTGCCCCAAAAAACAGTAGGGGAAACCCCCCTGAACAGCCCTAATGAGTTTGCTGGAGGGAGAAAAAATAGTTTTCCCCTTGGGTAAAATATATATAAATATATATATATAAAATATATATATATTATATATATAAAAAATATAATATAATATAAATAAAATTTTAAAATAATATAATATACCAAAAAAATATAATAAATACATAATAAAATAATATAAAAAATAATAAAAATATATATTTTATATATAAATTAAATATAATATAAAATATATAATATATAAATTAAAATAAATAATATATTATAATATAGTTATTTTAAAAAACATATTTACTATAAAAATATAATAAATAATAATACATTTAACAAATGTAAAACTTAAAACATCAAAAATAAATAAATATTAATAAAACTTTCAACCAATTTAAAAAATAACCTAATAATTTTCCTTAAAAAAGGTTCCAAAACCTTCAACAAGTTAAAAAAAACCTGAAAAAACACCCAGTTTTGGGCACCCAAAGCTTTTAACATGTAGAAATAACCTGAGGATAACACTAGTGTCACTAAAGCTTCAACAGTGTAGAAATAACCTGAGGATAACACTAGTGTCACTAAAGCTTCAACAGTGTACACAGTAAAACTGACCTGAGATTAAGTGTTTCTGAGTCTCACCCAAACATGTAAAGTTAACTTAGAAGAAGTTCTGTTTAATTTGGCCCCACATCCCCAGCAATTGATAAGGAGTAGTGAGAAACTCGTAAAGCACTCACACAAGCTCATCTCTCACGGCTCTGAAGCAAACTTGTTTTAAAAGAAAATCCTTCTGAATGAGCACACTTATTTCATCAATGATTTTTCTTGTCGTGATGAACGTTGTTTGCAAGTGATAAAAACATTTTTGTGTAGTTGTTGGTGGAGTGGTGGATGGTTTTAATAGTGCGTGTGAATGTGAATGTGTGATATATATTTGTATATGTGTGTGGGGGGGGGTGAAGGGGGGATTGTAATGGTTGTGGTGGCGGCCAGATGGACTGCGGGTGGGCGCAGAGTGGATGAGAAGACAGTGACAACCCTCATTTATGTCACATCACTGCCCGCCCATTACACACTCCTCAGTTACCACCACAACACCAAACCCACCCTAACCCTGCACTACACCACAACCAACACCCCACCCCCAACACAACAGCACCACCCAACCCAGCATTACGCCACCACATCATATTCACACTCCCACTATTCACCACTACCCATCCCCGAAGTCTCAGTGCATTCCTTCCTGCCTTCCTCCCTGATACTTCCCCTCTTCTCTAAAGTGATTCAAGATATTTAGGCGCGCAAGTTCAGTGCCTGTGTCTATCCCAATGCTTGAATATAGTTACCTCAGGTTTCCAGAGTTACAGTATGTATCCCATGTGCGGTGAGCTACTGAAGCTCCTCGATCCTCGCAGTACACAAGGAAAAATTTAGTCTGGTTCTATGACGTTCCATGTCTATAGCCCCTTCAGTACCATCATCCCCATTTAGTTTGTCTTGGTGATTCATTCTAGTGCGCAATGACCCTCTGAAAGTCTTGTCAAAAGTGACAGCTGTGTGACTTCACGGTACTGAGATCGAGTCCCACGTACACTTGCACCTCTTACAATCAGTCATTCTCTGACTTCGTGGCAGGCTCTTCACGTCCACCTGTAGCACAGCATTTAGTAGGAGAAATAGTCGTAGCTAGAAGTTAAAGTAGTGGCCACAGCTCTGTGGTAGTGAAGCTGTATGAGTGGCAGTAGTAATAGTAATACTACTGTAGTTGATTTAGTTGTACAGTGTGACATACCTGTGAGTGGTTTCGTGGGTTCTTCTACCCTCGCAGTCTGGTCTGAGCCTTGCTTTACTACCATTCCTGTCCTAAAAAATATATATGATTTTTTTCCAGTACGAAATGGGAGCATATATTTTTTTCACCTGTATTATGCCAGCAGTGACCGGAGGGAGTGGAGGATTGGGAGAGTCTTCTGCTTTACTATCCTTGTCCTCAGTCAGATAGTAGTAGTCAGCCCTCTGCCGACAGCATCGTTTTAGACTTTTCCAATTCTTTGCTATCTGTCTTGCCACTTCTCTCTCTCTTTCTCTCTTTCTCTCTCTCTCTCTCTCTCTCTCTCTCTCTCTCTCTCTCTCTCTCTCTCTCTCTCTCTCTCAGCTAAGTTTGTACAGAGTCGAACCAGTAAAGCCTCGCCCTGCTACCCACAGTTCAACACCTACACAATATTTACAAGGTTTCAGATGGATTTCCTGTGACGTCACTGGTCAATGTAAACAGTGTGGCTGGGAACATTTCGTCAGCAGAATAGGAGCCAGAGGATGTAGTATGTCATCTCTGTTGGATATTTTGAGCACGGAATGCCGTCAACGAATTACCTGGCCATCTAGACATCGCTGTAAAATAGGAGACGAACAATATGAAGTTTTCGCAGCATTTTGACTAATGGAACCCTGATTTTGTTGATATATGTAAATTATCATAAATGTTGTCAGAATTAAAAATGACTTAGAATTTTACGCACGAATCTTCTCGGTTATTTTCATACTGGGATTGTTAGTGGGTGTCTTGTGTCTGCCGGGGTTGAGCCACAATCCTTGATCCCTCTCCTAAGCTGACTTCACAGAAATTTATTTGATTTTTGCCTATCGGTCTATGTCATATCTGTTCTTGATGCTGTGAAATATTTTCCTCCATTTCCTCTCTACCACTCAGACTACAGAAATACTTTTCTACTTCAATTTCTAACATTCCTAATGTTCATCTATGCATAGTTTAAAACTGTACCACTGAGTCCCTTGTTTCCTCTCTAACAGCTTTTTTTGATTTACACTATCGATTTTTGGAAGGATTCTGAGGACCGCAATTATATTCCCCCTCTGCTCCAGGGTTGCCTACTTCAGTCACACGTAGGATAAGTCAAACTGGAAACCTTTAAACGTTCTCTTGCTTTGTACATAATTAACTGGAGGCTCGACGCTGCTCTTACGAAGCCTATGATGGTCGTCAATACATTGTGTATAGTATCTAGAAAATTCTACATTAATGTTCTTGAATGTTGTACACAGGTTTGTTAGTCTTGCGCATGCCACAGAGATTATCTGACTGACGGCATATGTGGTATAGGGTCATCTTCCCTCCCTTTTCCCAAGGACACCAACTGCTTCTGAATTCTTTGTGCCTCTCTGATCCTCTTTACCTTTCATCTGTTCGAACTGAACTTATAAAAATATCTGACCACCACTTTTTTTTATAGTATCTCCAAGTGACCCTAGAAACTGTTTCTTTGCCCGAATAGGTTTACCTTCCTTATTTGTTTTACATGGTCAGTAAACATGGACACGTAGGGCTCAAGTCTATGTATAACTGGAACCCACCTTGTAGAACATTTGTGTATATCAGACACTACTTCCCCCTTAACCGACCTTTGTGGTACCTCGCTTGTTGCACTCACTCATTCTGATGCCTCTTTCTACACTCTTACCCTGTTTCTTCTTTTCTTTATCCTTGTGAACATTTCCTCTTTTTCTCCTGCTTCTTTTCTTGTCTGTAGACTAATTTCTGTTTAGGTACGTAATCAAACGTTTTTGTAGGGACCATGTTTTTACCATGTAAAAGTATTTTAAATAAATAGTACAATAAGATATACAAACATTGTAAAGTTGTGCACTACACCTTACTTCATGACACGGAAGATACGAGACCTAAAATATAGACTTGTTTTACTGTTTAAACAGAATGTATAAAAACTCTTAAATACTTGTAACGTCTCTTTAGATATGTAGATAAGCAGGTTGGAAATGTGAAGAGAGCTTTGACATTGTCAATTATTCAGCGATCTTCAGTAAATATATATATACAATACACAAACACAAGAGAACAAAGATAAAATAAATGACCATAAAAAATATTTGCATGCATAAAACACACCACTAATATTTTTATACAAAGTTAAAATAACCAGCATCTAACAAATACCAATTAATTGTTAATGTCAAAAGTCTTTCCTAAAAAGTCTTGGAGATCTTTACAGGCACCCCGGGAATTATATATATATATATATATATATATATATATATATATATATATATATATATATATATATATATATATATATATATAAAGAATTGTTTGCCGTGACCAAACAATTAAAATGTGTTCCACAGTTAGCTGGATAACACAGGTGCTCCTGCGTTATCCAACCACCAACTAACCTGCCACCCCTTCATTGTGGCAGTTGTTCCTGCCACAATGAAGGGGTGGCAGGAGCACCTGCAAACAGGCAACCATGGCCGAGACGTGTGTGCCTGATCCTCAGTTAACAGAGATCCTTCTCAAAGTGACGTTTCTCGTTGAAAAAAAAAGAGGGTCAAATACCCGTGAGGTGCCGAATCCAGTATGACTCGCTTCTTGTCTGTAGGGCCCACCAGGCTTGACACTTCTCAAAGGACATATATGTACATGGATCATGAAGTCATTAAAGCAAAAGTGTGCTACAGAACGAGTTCATTAAAGCAGAATTCGCCTCCGTACTTCCCATTCATTGTCTGGAATACCAACATAGTCCGGGCACCAACAGAAATCTGCATCCTTCTGCCGGATACTCGAACATGAGACATGTAATCACTCTACTGTAAAAATAACTTACTGAAACGAAAGGTACGGGAGATGGATTAAGAGATGTAGAGGTAATATGAATTAAAAAACACTGTCAATACTCAAAGTCCAGGACTCTTCAGACCAAAAAAGTATTGCCGGAACAAAGTTTCCACTCATCCAAGAAGTTCCTGCAGGTGCAACCTGATCAGCCAGGTTGTGGTGGCCTGCTGGCCAGCGAACAGCAATAGCCTGACTGATCAGACGGACACTACAAAAATAATAAAACTCCGGAACAATGACACATGTACATCATAACTTGAGTGCGTACTTACCCAGACTTGGAGGTGGGAATGTTAGGGTCACTGTGCTTCCTGTTCTCTCTCGTCCGTTTCTGAAACATTGTAGCTACATTAAATACAGTAATTACATGGAAACATTGAAAGAAAATCCAAAAGGCATTATATAGATCGAAAACAACATTATAATCTTATCAAACCCTCCCATTAAAAAGTATACTAATTTCACAAGTCCAAACTAGGAAATACAAATGTAAACATTATAACGATTTTCAGAAGTAAATACTTGTTGCCGTTAATTAAATATTCAATTAACGATAATTCTTCGGTCCAGGACAGTACACATCCTAGTGGCAACATTAATGTTACTATGCTGATCTACACATCCTAGTGGCAACATTAATGTTACTATGCTGATCTACACATCCTAGTGGCAACATTAATGTTACTATGCTGATCTACACATCCTAGTGGCAACATTAATGTTACTATGCTGATCTACACATCCTAGTGGCAACATTAATGTTACTATGCTGATCCAACCACAGTAGTTAAAGCCTTGATTTCCGATTTTTTTTCTCTTCTCTTTGTTGTGTTACCTTTTGGCTAAAAGTTAATCGTGTAAGGTTTTGTCACGATTAGACTTAATGTAGCACCAAATTTCCACCCCCTCCCAAACTACACAATGGGAATTTCTATATCTATCTGCTTGCTTTTTTTATTATTATTATTATTTACTTTCAGGTTAATAGTGATGGATATGCGCTTCAATTCTTTTCCGATATTCAATTTTCCCTAGAGAGTAGTAAGGAAGAAGTGTGAAAGGTTGAGGGCGTTAGAGCACCTCGAAATATTTTTCATCGTCACAAAACTTCATACAAATGGAAGGAAAACGACCGAAAAAGGCAAGAAAATTTCAAGTATTAATTTTCTACCCCCTATCAATGGCCCACCTTAAATTGGTGTCGTTGGGACACCTACATGAACCCCCAATGTTTTCTTTTTGTCAGTCTTTTTTTTTTTTTTTTTTTTTTTTTTGGTCATTGCGTGGAACATGACAGAATAAAAGAGTTTTTAAACATTCGTTTTTTTGTGGACCGCTCTACTATACACATCTAAGTTAGCTGAAAAATATTTAATGGGATTTTATAAATCACTTCCGCACACAACAAAATTGTATAAATTGTCTATGGCACACACAGGGCGAATACAAGAGACCTAAATAACTATATGACAAGCAAGGTGACTACAACTGTAGACAAAATTAAAGAAGTAAAACAGAGTAATGGCCAGAGTAAAAGTAGGACACACCAAGCTAGCAGCTCACAGCTCTATATACAAAACAAACATCAGTAAATGTCTATATTCCACTGTTTAACCATCACACTGCGAGTATCAGCTTCAAGCTTCAACTTGCCACCCTGAGTTTCCCCTTGAAAACATACTGGGGTAGACAATTCTCACTACATATAACACCAAAAATAAGGAAAACACTAACAATGTTCATACAAACTACCAGAAAACTGGGCGATATATATATCATAATGATAAACAGAACAGTCTCCCCAAACACCTCGGCACTATCAAGAGAAAATGGTGAAGAGGCAACTCTTTCAAGCGCCTCATCTTGACAACAAGCATTACTGAACTAAACATAATCCAGTAGCTGCCCACTGTGAAGCAACATACACACTACACTTCGTGCAATAACTGGGAGAGAGGACTACAAGATTCAGCAATACGTACACAACAGTTGACTACGAGAGTCCTTAATATGCATACAAGGTGACTAATACAGACCTAAATATGCATACTATACTATATACACCTGCCTCCACCAGGTGGTATACATAGAGCATACCTGGAGAGGGTTTCGGGGGTCAACGCTCCCGCGGCTCGGTCTGAGACCAGGCCTCGTGGTGGATCAGGGTCTGATTAACCAGGCTGTTACTGCTGGACGCACGCAAACTGACGTACGAACCACAGCCCGGCTGGTCAGGTACTGACTTTAGATGCCTGTCCAGTGCCTTCTTGAAGACAGCCAGGGGTCTACTGGTAATCCCCTCTTATGTATGCTGGGAAGCAGTTGAACAGTCTTAAGCCCCTGACACTTATTGTGTTGTCTCTCAGTGTACTCGTGCCGCCCCTGCAGAGTTTTTTCCTCTCATAGGGAATGATTTTCGTGTGCATGTTTGGTACTCATTCTTCTAGGATTTCCTAAGTGTATATTATCATGTATCTCTCTCGCCTGTGTTCCAGGGAATACAAATCAAGGGACTTGGTATGGGTGGAACATCACAAAAGTTCTTATCAACTTAGCAGTGCAACACTGCAAATATTCTCCAAAGTCAACAACATACAATTCTGAGGACCTGATGTCAGGCTAAGCCTGTTAATTAATTTTGCATACATCTTCCAAGAAACTTGGTTATATCAGGAAGTGGGCCATGGAACCTGCACCCCAATTCGGCCTCACCTACACCACTCAAGGCTTAATGACGGAGGTAAGGAAAACGAGATAGTATGGAAGACCCATGATATTCCTGTGACCTGTTTCGAGAACCTTTCTACTCTTGCAGCAGCCTGGTCTGGGGTGAAGCCGGGCATAAGATCCTACGTAAATTTCTGTTATCTTTGACTGGCTCTGAGGACTATCTTCCCAACGGCCCAGTCTCAAACCATGCTTCCGAGGTTGGAAAGGAAATATTACAGGATTAAAGACTATTAAGAAGCACATAGGAAAGTAAAGGTAAGTGTATAGTGTAACAAATATTTATTTTAGGGATAATCGCATACATGACTGCCTCTCAGGCGAGATAATAAGTTACATACACACAAAAATACATACTGTATTTCTATGTGGATAGGCAAAGTTTATTTTTATGTTTACGTCTTGGGCCGCCTCTCATTAAGATAAAAACTTAAAGGAGGAAACATTCACCATTACTCACTCAATAACTGCCCTGGCAGAGCAGCACACACATCATAATCCGAATGAACCTTTCACCAGCAAAATCCTTATCAGTGCTTTAGAATACAGACAGTATTTCCTACCACCAGAACTACACTCTGACTAACCGGTTTATCTGAATCCAGTTCAAAAATTTATTCACACTGGGACAGCACTCTAAATCCCAGAAGTCACTTGTCTCCACCGACTCTTGTTTAACACCCTCACACCAGTCACAGGTAAGTCAAAGTGCACAAATAACTCAACTACAATAGATACCGAAGCCCCTACCACTCAAAACCTCTATCTTGTGTTTTTTATATAGTGCCGCTTCAGAGCTGTTCATTCTTTCCATATCTAAGCAGTTGGAACTCGACATTATTAAGTCTTATTACTCTTCATTGCTTACTGTAAGACTTTATATTTTCTTATAATTTTTCTGTCTCTCCTACAGACGTGATTTCATGCTTATTTTGGTATCATTCTCGAATCATACTCTGGAGAGCGTTTTTATGTATGTCTGTTATGAGGATAAGAAACAGTAAAGGCGCCAGAACCGTGCCTTTGGGCACGGAGCTCTTTACACTGATAATATTGGATTTTTCTCCGTTTGTTAAGGTGGAAGCCAACTAATTGGGTATGATGGGTTGCTTTAAAAGTATACATATATGTATGTTAGTTCCTAACTACCTCTCTGTCTTCATGAACATATTAATAAAAGCAAGCATTATACATAGTTCGTGACCAACAGCAACTCAAACATGTTTACCATTCCTTTCTTAAAAAAAATAAGATAAAGGAAACTACAAAATTTGAAAAATATAGAAATAAAACAAGTACAACGATTATATTGGGAATGAATAGTTGCGGCAGATACAACTCACGAGTTCTCACAGACTAAATAAAACCTAAGTGTGATTTACTTCTCAAAATAATCACAGATTTATGCAGCTAAAGAGGCTCTCGAGGATCTCCCGTGTGCATATGATTATTATTGAAAATTGTTTGCCGAACAGTGATATCAATCCAGGTGGAGGAATTAGCAGTTCACATGACTGAACGCGCACGGGCAACGTGCAGTCATACATCTCTACATCTTTCAGCTCTGCGATCTCACTTGCCTTGAAGAGCGAATTTGCAACCCCCCTCTACAGAACGAAGGGGGAAGTTGAGCAATGCATACCATACCTTGTAATGATATGGAAGACGCGGCCCAGTTTCGCACTGAGGTCAGGACAACAAACTTATGCAGGGGTGTGCCCAGAGAAAATTCTTATTTAAAGATATATTAAGTAAGATTGAATATTCAGTAAGGCTTTACCTTAATGAAACATGCAATAGGAAGAATTAAATTAGGGACACCTTCTAATCAAGGGAAACCTTGATTTCTGACATAGGTACGTAGGTGGGGTCCGTGTAAGACGCCCTGGTGTCAGCACATTTTACCCGTCCGGGGTGCTACAGTGACCAAAGACAGGAATCACTTGCAGGAGAGAGAATATCGAAGCGACGTCATGCAACTTTGAAATGTTAATCTGCGTGGAAATACCCTTAATGATGGTATCCGTCTGTGGTCTCATAGCAGTCACACCTCGCTGATACGCAAGCTCTTCCCGCGACCCTGGCTGTGTGACATGGTACGTTTATTAACCTCTGACATTACCAATAAATGTTCAGGACTGAAACATCGTGAACTTTGTGAACGCGTGATGGTGACAAGTTGGGTGATGCTGAACCAAATCAATGAGCCCACTTGACTGTTTATTGCATGTGCAGATCTCTACGAGTATAGAGACAATATTTTAGTGTACTGATAGAGCTGTCGAACATTAATGCATCTAAGGAGTGTCTAAGCCTGCCTAAAACGGACAATGTATCTTTAATCAAGCCACTGATATCGGGATCCAGATGACACGTCCCTAAAATATGACACTGGAGCGATGTGTCCAGCACGTGTTATAGAGGTTTGGAGAAGCGCCTGTGGGACCCAGTGATATGTGGGCGATTAGCATAATACAGATAGTTACGTGAACTCTTATTCGAGACAGACTTGTGCAACAGCTGAATACATATTAATTAGGTCATAATCCTAACCCTTTTATGTTTCGCCCAATATACAGCTACGAAGGCACTATTCGACAGTCGCTGTAGGAGGAAAGAGTTCATGATGAGTGCTGGGACCTTCAGACCGCCTACTCTTAGGATAAGTGACTCATTATTTCTACTAGGATTAACTCAGTCCCAAGATTCGTCTCCAACTGTAAAAAGCGTCTACAATCCATATCGCAAATCTCTTATTAATCTGCTCTGCTCAAAAATAACGTAATGTAAATATAAATATTAAATTAGAGCTCTTCAAGGCAACTGCTGTTCATTATATTGCATTGAATGTCAATATGCAACAAGGAGTTCATCCAAACTAATGAAAGGTCATGCGATTTGGAAAAGGTGAGGACAGACCTCAACGAGAGTACAGGAGCGGAGAAAAACTGCCAGTATCTGAGAGTGAAAAAGAACCTAGGGTAAATACAAAACCAAGCATATCCTCACAATTAAATAAACTGCACACACACACCAGCAGCAAATGGAAAAATAACAACTACTTCAGAACTTTGTCATATAATGTACGTGAAGGTCGAAAAAGTCCAAAGGTTTGCAACCTGGCTAGTACCAGAAATGACAGGAAGATACTATGAGAAGAGGTTGAAGGAACTAAATTTAACAACCTTGGCGTAAAGAAAGTGAGAGATGATTACTACATACAAAATCCTAAAAGGAAATGATAGGGAAAAGGATAAACTGCTTGAATTAAGAGGACAAGGATTAGGGGAACACTGAAGATGAAAACACAAATGAGGATGCAAGTATTTCTTTAGTTTCAGGGCAGCTGAAGAGTAAATGCAGAAGTGGAGGAAAATTTAATACACAACCTCAAGAGTAGAAAAGATCTAAGAGGCCAGAAATTAGTAATGGCAATCAAAGTAATCTAGGCGACGGAGCCAGGAGCAGAGTCTCGATCCCTGCAAACACAGATCAGTGAGTACATACAAAGTAGGTAGCAGAACGTGTTGTCTTTCCTAACTCACTGAAATAATCATAAGGAGCACAAAATACTCACCCGCCCATGTTGTTTTTCCTTGAGACTCTCTGATCTGTTCACCGGGGTGCCTGACTTTTTCTTCTGTTGCTGCAAGCTGTGTTTAGTGGGCGGACTGCGGATAAACAAAACAACATAGTTAGTTATCTTCATATATTACGTCTACACAGCCACAACACTTCACTAGGGTCTCAACAGCTTATCATATCAATGACACCAAAAATATTAAAGTAAAACAATATTCCACAGTATACCCAGCAGGGATACCACAGTATACCCAGCAGGGATACCACAGTATAGTAAGCAGGGATACCACAGAATATCCTCCAAAGATACCACAGTATACCCTCCAGGGATACCACAGTATATCCTCCAGGGATACCACAGTATACCTTCCAGGGATACCACAGTATACTAAGCAGGGATACCACAGTATATCCTTCAGGGATACCACAGTATACCTTCCAGGGATACCACAGTATGCCTTCCAGGGATACCGCAGTATACCCTCCAGGGATACCACAGTATATCCTCCAGGGATACAACAGTATATCCTCCAAGGATACCACAGTACAGCTTCCAGGACACCACAGTATACCCTTCAGGGATACCACAGTATATCCTCCAGGGATACCACAGTATACCCTCCAGGGATACCACAGTATACCCTCCAGGGATACCACATTATACCCTCCAAGGATATCACAGTATACCCTCCAGGGATACCACATATACCCTCCAGGGATACCACAGTATACCTCCAGGGATAAGACAATATACCTTACAGGGATACCACAGTATACCCTCTAGGGATAAGACAGTATACCGTACAGGGATACCACAGTATACCCTCCAGGGATAAGACAGTATACCCTACAGGGATACCACGGTATACCCTCCAGAAATAAAACAGTATACCCGACAGGGATACCACAGTATACCCTTTAAGGATACCGAGGTCGAAGTGTGCAATAAAACCAATTTTTCTATTGTTGTTCTACATATATTTCTTTTTTTTATAAAATATGGAAAATTCATTCAAACTGTTAAGAGTAATTACTCACGTCTACTGTAAATCAACACAAGTGTGAAGCAAGCTTTTGCGACAACGTTTCGCACTCTAAATTAACACAAGCGTGAAGCAAGCTTTTGCGACAACGTTTCGCACTGCGTAAGCTCTACACAGACTGAAATGTTGTCCTAATAAAAGCTTGTGGGGTAACGAGTCTTTTCTTCAATAATATGTCCAGTAGGTGACTTGTATTCAGTAAATAATGAATGTAGAGACTTGCTAGCTTGATTGTTGACAAGTCTCGTCTCCCTCGTAACAAGGTTATTACTCATACTGCAAGTGTGACTACACTTTATGTATCACCACAGTGTTACCACCCTTAATATGTCACCATACAATTTATCACCATCCTCAACGTGTCACAACCCTCAACGAGTTACCATACAATGTGTCACCAGCCAATGCATCACCACCGTCCTATTTGAAAAATTGGTACAGTGTAAATTAAGCACCGTAAGAAGTGGTCTTCACTTTATAAGAAGGATCTTGGTTCTATGTATGTCTGGGTAAAACAGTCTTCTTTACTCAATCACTGTCATACAGATAATACCTCAATGCTGCTGAAGAGCTCTTCATCCAATGAATTGGTGCTACCCCTCCGTCTGTTTCAGACTTATTCACTTCCCATCCCCCAGATGCTAAATGACCCCTTATGAATTTAGCGCTTAATTTTCTGATTCTTATATCCGACATAACTGACAAATCATAGCACTGTAAAATCCCCTGCTGATAACACCAAAATCTCAAGCAAAGTGGCGCCCATCGATGAGATAATGAGTCTTCAAGAGAATATAAAGTAAATCTACCAGTGGGTCTCACAACAAACAATATGATGTTCAATGAGGGCAAGTTTCAGTTGCTCCGCTATGCAAGAACAGAAGAAATATAGACTGAAACGGAGTAGAGGACAAACTCAATACAGTGGAAGCCTCATGCACGAGACTTGTAAGTAAGATGTTCAGCTTACATTCAGGGATCACAACAGTGTTGCGAATGCTTCCGCAAATAAAATAATCGGTTGCTTAGCTAGAACTTCCAAGAAAAAGAGATGCTGAGTCACTGATTATACTCTTCAAGTCACTTTTCCCTTCAGGCTGAAATGCTGTATAATAACTGCCACTGATAATGTGCAACACTCACTGATGTGCAACACTGTCACTGATAATGTGCAACACTCACTGATGTGCAACACTGTCACTGATAATGTGCAACACTCACTGATGTGCAACACTGTCACTGATAATGTGCAACACTCACTGATGTGCTAACACTGTCACTGATAATTAACACTCACTGATGTGCAACACTGTCACTGATAATGTGCAACACTTCACTGAATGTATACACTGTCACTGATAATGTGCAACACTCATGTATGTCAACACTGTCATGATAATGTCAACACTTCAACTGATAATGTCAACACTCACTGATATGCAACACTGTCACTGACAATGTACAACACTGTCAACTGATAATGTACAACACTGTCACTGAAATGACAACACCTGTCACTGATAATGTACAACACTTCACTGATAATGTACAACATCGATAAATTAACACTCACGATAATGTCATCACTTCATGATAATGTACACCACTCCTGATAATGTAAACCCCTGTCACTGATAATGTACACACTGTCACTGATAATGTTACTACAATCACTGTCATAACTGATAATGTACAACACTGCACTGATAATGTACAACATCACAATAATGTACTAACACTCACTGATAATGTCAACATCACTTCACTGATAATGTACAACCACTCATCTAATAATGTACACACTGTCATGATAATGTACAACACTGTCACTGTTAATGTACAACACTTCCTAATATCGTACAACACTGTACTGAAAGTCACACACTGCACTGTAATTACACACTGCACTGATAATGTCACCAAAATCCTCACTAATAATGTCACACACTCACTGAATAATGCACACTTCACTGATAATGTAACAACTCAAATAAGTACACACTGTCACTGATATGTACAACACTCACTATAATGTTACAAAGACTGTCACAGATAATGTACAACACTCACTATAATGTAAACACTGCATGATAATGTACACACTGACACGATAATGTACAACACTCACTATACATGTACAACACTGTCACTGATAATGTACAAAACTGTCACTGATAAACATGTCAGGACACACTACTGATAATGTACCCAAAAAACTCAATTCTGATGCAATTGCTAAACTGTCACTAGATAAATGTACACACTGAGTCACTGATAATGTACACACTCACTAATAATGTACAACACTGTCACTGATAATGTACAACACTGTCACTGATAATGTACAACACTCACTGATAATGTACAACACTGTCACTGATAATGTACAACACTGTCACTGATAATGTACAACACTCACTAATAATGTACAACACTGTCACTGATAATGTGCAACACTGTCACTGATAATGTACAACACTGTCACTGATAATGTACAACACTGTCACTGATAATGTACAACACTGTCACTGATAATGTACAACACTGTCACTGATAATGTACAACACTCACTGATAATGTGCAACACTGTCACTGATAATGTACAACACTGTCACTGATAATGTACAACACTGTCACTGATAATGTACAACACTGTCACTGATAATGTACAACACTGTCACTGATAATGTACATACACTGTCACTGATAATGTACATACACTGTCACTGATAATGTATAACACTGTCACTGATAATGTAACACTGTCACTGATAATGTACTACACTGTCACTGATAATGTACTAACACTGTCATCTGATAATGTAACACTGTCACTGATAATGTACAACACTGTCACTGATAATGTATAACACTGTCACTGATAATGTACTACACTGTCACTGATAATGTACTACACTGTCACTGATAATGTACTACACTGTCACTGATAATGTACTAACACTGTCACTGATAATGTAAACACTGTCACTGATAATGTACACACTGTCACTGATAATGTACTACACTGTCACTGATAATGTACTACACTGTCACTGATAATGTACAACACTGTCACTGATAATGTATAACACTGTCACTGATAATGTACTACACTGTCACTGATAATGTACTACACTGTCACTGATAATGTACTACACTGTCACTGATAATGTATAACACTGTCACTGATAATGTAAACACTGTACTGATAATGTATACACTGTCACTGATAATGTACACACTGTCACTGATAATGTATAACACTGTCACTGATAATGTACTCACTTCACTGATAATGTAAACACTGTCACTGATAATTACTACACTGTCACTATAATGTACTACACTGTCACTGATAATGTCTAACACTGTCACTGATAATGTACTAACACTGTCACTGATAATGTACTAACACTGTCACTGATAATGTACACACTGTCACTGATAATGTACAACACTGTCACTGATAATGTACTAACACTGTCACTGATATGTACAACACTGTCACTGATAATGTACAACACTGTCACTGATAATGTACTACACTGCACTAGATAATGTACTACACTGTCACTGATAATGTACTACACTGTCACTGATAATGTACAACACTGTCATGATAATGTACAACACTTCACTGATAATGTACAACACTGTCACTGATAATGTACTACACTGTCACTGATAATGACAACGTCACTGATAATGTACAACACTGTCACTGATAATGTACAACACTGTCACTGATAATGTACACACTCACTGATAATGTACAACACTGTCACGTGATAATTGTACTAACACTGTCACTGATAATGTACAACACTGTCACTGATAATGTACAACACTGTCACTGATAATGTACAACACTGTCACTGATAATGTACAACACTGTCACTGATAATGTACAACACTGTCACTGATAATGTACACCACTCACTGATAATGCACAACACTGTCACTGATAATGTACTACACTGTCACTGATAATGTACAACACTGTCACTGATAATGTACTACACTGTCACTGATAATGTACTACACTG